GCGCGAGGAATATCAAATGAAAATCTCTCTGCGCGCGGATCAGAATCGGGCCGTGACGTTTCGGTGGTATAACATCAAACACGGAGAAAAAACTTCGTGCGTGGGACCCGAAGTTAAGGTAATATGGATCTCTGAAGTTTTCGGATTGAGCATCCGAACACTTAAGGTCCAGCTGCTGAGGTTTGGATCACACATCTGAAACTTCAGTTCTTACATCTGAAGTACTTCGGTTCTCACATCCGAAAAACTTCGTTTCTCACATCCGGAAAACATCGATTCTCACATCTGAAGTATTTCAGATGTAAGAACTGAAGTTTCAGATGTGTGATCCAAACCTCAGCAGCTGGACCTAAAGTGTCCAGAAGCTCAATCCGAAAATTTCAGAGATCCATATGACCTAAACTTCGGGTCCCATGCAAGAAGTTTTTTTCTCCGTGTATAACATCATAGACGGCTGAAGACTCGGTGTATGATTTGAACGGACGAAAGGGTGTGTATCTGTCGCAGGCAATTGGCAATCGCCAGTTTACAAGCTAGTGGTGAATAAATATAGAAAATCATTAAATTCAAAAATAAAAGAACAAGGTTAGGATGCTGACCATGTTGCTCATGATGTGAATAGACACTTTTCCATCCTTAAAAGCATGACAGAAATATGCACACTCAGGAGAGCGTGCAGTGAACTCCGTGATATTAGTCGGGCTGAGATCGGATAGACAACTAAACTAACATCGTGACAAAGCGTAGAGTATCACAAAAAATGAAGGCGCTTCAAGCCGAGCTCATACTCTTGAAGACCGTAACTTATATTAAGATATAAGAATATGGTATAATTTAAGAAACTTATATTGCGTATCCAAGGAGAACAGTAATGACTGCGGAATGTCAGCTAATGTCTTCTTGGATCGTAAACAGTATTTTTGAAAATTCCTGCCGTATTTTTTATTTTTATTTTTTTTTCACAGCAGGATCAGTATCGGATAGAGAGACAAGTTATTGGGTGCATACGCGGTGAATCGTAATGTGGTGGTTTTTTCTGAACTATGTCCTTGAAGTTATAGCATGGTTTTCTGTGCACGGATATAATGATGCAACTATCATATTTTTTTCCCACCATGTGTTGTTCAAACTATAGGCACTTTGCTACAGCTAAGTCAAAGTGTCAAGATTGAGGTTGCCAGATTTTTATATCGCAGTGACTGTCATGATAACGTTTGGCGCGCGATGTGAATCACGTAGAGCATTGAGTTTTCATGACCGGGTAGTTTCAATTCACGCATCAAGAATCATTGAATATCGTTGTGAGGAGTTGATTTCGGTAATTTTTGTTGTGCGCATCGTACTTTACGCGAAATTCTGGTTAAGAAACATGTATCAGAATGCTGAAATTCGTACCTTGTCTAGTGGTCCATTTTGAAATTACGAGGACGAGAATTATAAATTTGTCTTGTAAGAGTTCAAGTTGTATTTAAAAGGAGTGGTTTCCCGCGTTTCGGCAACTTGGCGTTAAGAATCAGCAGCTTTGAAGCCTGGATCAATCGGACAATTGGCATGTGGCCCTGTTCGATCCCAATTGAATTCGGCCATCCGTCGTCCGTCGGCCGAACCACAATGAAACCAAAAAGCATCCACTTACACGGCTGCCAGATCAATCCACCCCAACTCGACCAAATTCAGACCTCCAAAAAAATGCCTCCCACGCGTCAAACTGGCAGCGCTGGATGCAATAGTCTTATTCAAAGAGGATCTTAAACATAATTTGGAAGTAATACACGTTCGAACTTGTTAGCTTATTGGACCGAACTCGACACCCCGGATACTAAGGGACAAAACACGAATTTAACTTGAGCTATGGAGAGAGTAAAGTTGTACGGTCGATAGGGTTCATCTTGATGTGTGTTTACGTCATTTTTTTGCGGGAGACGGGGGTAGGAGGGACGGAGTCACCGGGGAGGAAGGAAAAAAGCTGCTTTGCATTCAGGATCGGTATCCCTGAATTATGATAAATTCATGTATCGCCGGGACAAAAATCATTTGCGTTCCCTCTCCGCCAACGGAATACGCTTCCAGGAGTCCCGCGATCGGAATTTCATTTTCTCCGCGATACTGTTTGCCCCTGAATACTTAGTGGCGGGTTGCGCTTTTGAGGTGGATATTCTGCCGCGGATATGGACTCAACGAGAAACTTTCCGTGAGAAAAAAGTTTGAGGTTATGAACTGAAACGCAAAATGAAATTTTACGCATCGAATTACTATTTTTTTCTTCATCGTCATAAAATTTAAGGGAATTTTCATAAGTTAACAATCGGAAACTGAGGTGCAAAATTAAAGTCTTCGGATGGATGTTGTGCCATAGATACGGATTTAATGCGAAACTCAGTGTGAGGGAAAAGTTTGGGCTTATGGACCGAAATTAAAAAAAATATTTTACAGAATTTTTGTTAATATTTTCATAAAATATTAGGGAGTTTTCAAAAGTTTAGAATCTTAATTTAAAACCGAAATTTTCCTCTCATGTATCCAGTGGTGGGAAAATTTCCTTATTTTTATGGTCATCGACTTGAAATATACTGTATGGCCGTAGTCTTCAAATTTGTGAACTATGACCCAGATTTCTGTATGCCACGCAGTGCGCAGAGACCCTCAAAATAGACTGATCATCAGAGGCGGATTCAGCAATTTGGCAACACCGGATTCCCTCCATTTAAACCTATGTTAAATAATCGATTCTTGCCGGAGCACCTGGCCCATCTAAGAATCGATACATTTCCATAGGTTTAAAGGGAGAAAAACAATGTTGCCAATTAGCTAGATCCGCGAATGCTGATCATCCGTTTGGGTTCGTCCTCCCGGCGAACTGAGGGAGTTATATTTTCCTCCTTCGCCGATCATCCGGTTGGGGAATTGATAGTCAGATTACTCCACCGTCTCGATGGCCAATACTTATTGAGATTGTATCGTAACCTCGACCGTGGACGTATTTTCCTATGTCATCCTAGCATCTAACCTCGTTTTAACCGGTGTCACGGCTCAAAGCGCGGCATGGACGAGCAGGAGGCCTTGACATTCGCGTCATTTTCGCTGATCGGCGGAATTTCGTCGTATTAAACTGATCGTGACTATTCTCTCGAATTTGATTGGTGAATAATCCCAATAATTCGATACGGACATGTCATTTGGTTGGTAATGACCTTATGGAAAGGATCTTTAAAAAGGTGAAGAAAAATTGGCTATAGTAACTTCAAGTCATTACACTGAAAAAATGTATGGTAACATCTACTATAATTCTCCTTGATTTTTTACACAGTGATACCATTCAGTGAAAATAACCAGAATTGTAGCAGTATTCACCAGAACTCAGGTGATACCTACTTACCATACTGGTAAATGCTACAATAAAGTCTGTGTTGATCACCATACTCGGATCACTGTGTTAGAGTATGGTAAAATCTACCATATTTCACCACTTTCGCCACAATATACCACTTTCTAAGCACCGAATATGCAGTTTGTGTCAATTTCGTCCTAATAATCACCAAATCTAAACGTCCTTCCTTCTTTTTTCCTCCATTCCCTCTTTATCTCCAACTTTCTTCCTTTTTATCCCACCTTTTTTCCGGCAAACGGGGAGGGGGGTCTTACGCCCCTTTTGGATTTGCCTTTGTCCCAAAGAACGTAACAGTGCATGGTATCACTGCATGAAAGAGTTTTAAAGAAACATGTTGGTACGAAAACATCATTGACGGATTGAAGCTTAGAACTAAGAGAACAAATATTACGACAAAAATCTGGACAAAATGTTTTCTGTCAGGTTCTGGACTCTAAATTGTTTGGTTAAAATATAACTGCGCACCTTTCAGTAAAAAAACAAAAATGTATGAAATCATTCGCAACTTATTTGTTTCAATTAGTCGCCACCCAAAAATCAAAGACATTTTCAATTTCTTTTGAATCAAGTATTTTGTTGCTTCTCATTATTCTTAGTTTTCGATGACCTTACAAACTTCCGATAACAATCACAACGGGCAATAGAGACGACTCTGCATTTATATTATAATGATGGGCCTGTTGCATGCAAGAGATACAGCCGTGCGAATAGACTTTTTAGAGGTTAAATGACACGAAAATTACGATGGTCACATTATAAAAGTCTGAAATACACTCCTTACTGCGCAATTTGCGTTGTTAGGAACGCGCTTATTCAAATTTCCCGCGTCTGGGGGCAGTTTTCTAACGGAAACAACAAACGGCAACTCGCGGCTATTTCCGGTCAACTAAAACTGACAACATAACCTAAAAATCGCAGCTCGTGATATCGTGAAATGAAATGTAGGAGGATTGCGTTGGATATTTAAAAGTTGATCGATTTGGTTAGGGCATAAAGCGTATATGGACCACTATAAGAGATCACGTTGGGTTTGTAAACAAACTGAAGGAAAAAATAACAACAACAACAACAACAACGACTCGGCATCTTCCGGAAATCACCGAGACCGCCGTTTGCTCGATTTTGGTGATTAGAAAACTGCCCCCAGACGCGGGAAATTTGAAAAAGCGCGTTCCTAACAACGCAAATTACGCAGTAAGGAGTGAATTTCAGACTTTTTTAATGTGACCATCGTAATTTTCGTGTCATTTAACCTCTATAAAGTCTGTTCGCGCGGCTGTATCTCTTGCATGCAACAGGCCCATTATAACGATAACCAGAGTTTGAAAGAACGTACCTCTTTTTGCGACGTTGCAGACTTCCTACCGTGCTTTATTTTTTATTTGAAAAACTAGTCTACGTAATTTCATAAACTCTTCTTCATTTGTTTCCTCTATTTGGAGAATATTCTAAATAAATTTCAAGCCTGAAAATTGACTATTTTCTTTTCGAAAAAATAAAATAGGAGCGGAAATTTTTAAACACCGCAATCGAGATGTGTAGTTTCCCACTTCAACCATCGATAAATTATCCTCGTTGCTGTAATTAATTAATTTCTCCCATTTTGTTCCAGGCTTTGCGAGCTCACTGCCGGGGTCTCACAGAAAACCCCCCGAGAGCCCGATCGACGACAGTGGGGGGCACTACCCCTCAGACCCCCCTGCGTCCCCCGAAGCCCCCCACTACGTGCCATTCGACCCGTCCTCGCTAGACGAGGACTCCGTCGACCCTCATGTGCCACTTAACTTTAACTTCTCAGGTGCCAACTACGACGTCAACGAAGTCAACTATGATGACGTCAACAACAGTGACGTCAATGAGAATGACGTCAACGAGGATGACGTCGGCGAAGACCCCGACTACGACTACCAAGAAGAAACAACAGAAAGCGGGCCGGAGGCCGGCAATTCCACCTCCGGGGCGGACTACCCCGAATACTCGGAGGCGACACCCCCGACCGACGAGCAAGAGAGCAATCTCGAAGACAAGCCGGAGGGGTTCGACGAACCTGCCGAAGCGCAGAACAACTCCCCAGCCAAGCGCCTGACCTCTCCCACCGTCAAGGCCTTCATCGCGCCGATCTTCGACCTGGGCGGTAAAGGCCGCGCGGGACCTTTGCTAGAACCACTCAAGTACTCCACGATCGGGCACCACAAGAACGAACCCTTCCACAGCCCCCTAGTGGACGACACATACGACGACCACGACACATACCGTCACCACCCGCGGAAGTACTCGAAAGGAGGCGGCAGCAGCTACGACTCAGGCTTCCACTCGAGTCATGGAGACAAGGGGTCGAAAGGCTACGACAGTGCCCACGACTTCCACGACGGCGAGTACGGACACCACGGGAAGGAAGGCAAGAAGGGATACTACAACGACAAGGCCGGGCACAAGAACGGGTACCACGACGGAGGAAGCCATTACGGGACGCACCACGCGGGGGAGCACGGGAAGAAGGGGGCGGCGTGGGGCGAGACGGGGCACCACAAGAAGGGGCACAAGACGACCGGGTACCACAACACGTACCACAAGGACGAGTACAAGAAGGAGCACAAGTTCTACGACGACGCGCACAAGGAGGGGTACCACGACAAGCACGGCTCGCACCACGCGGACCACGGGAAGCACTCGGGCGGCAAGAAGCACGGCGGGTACCACGACTCGGCCTACAACGAGGGGCACAAAGGGAAGTCAGGGTTCTATGATAAGGGGCACTTCGATAACGAGCACGCCGGACACAAGGGCGCCAGCGGGTTCGACTCTAACTTCGGGAACTTCGATGAGTTTGGGAAGAAATCCGGCTTCAATGAGCATAACAAGTTTGGATTCAGCGATTTTTGATTCTGCAGTGTATGAGCGTTACAGGTACCGTACACTGGAAAGAAAAACATATTGGATCTAGATTCCAGACTCTTAAAAACATCGATAAGAAAAACTACTCTTGATTCAATCAGAATCTAGCTTAAATCAAGAACCTAGCTTCTTAATTTAAGCGGATTTCGTTTTGATTCAAGCAAAAACCCGATTGAATCAAGAGTATTTTTTCTTGTCAATGTTTTCAAGAGTCTGGACTCGAGAGCCAATGTGTTTTTTTTCCAGTGTAGGAAGCCCGGGTAATGTCGACTTCATCCAGTTGCTTTTTGGTAATGTCAAGTATATCGTCAACATTACCTGGATAATGTCGGCTTTACCCATGTCGCTTTGTGTATGTCTAACCGAAAGTTGGAAATGCATATTTTCATCGAAAGTTTGCCGATAAGGCGCAGAAAATAATGAAGTACGCCTAATTTTTGACATTACGAAAAGTGACTGGATAAAGTCATCCGGCCCTCCGACATTACCCGTAACATAAACATCGAGTTCGAATGTGTAAAAAGGTGTAGCGTTGGAAGTATTTCTCCGATGTTGAAGGCGCTCCGCAGCGAGCGCACGGGCGCGCTTCATGTTGCCCTATATAAATGAGCTTGTTAACCTGTTTCTAATTCTTGCATTTTCAGAAACTACATTGTCTCCTGATCACGCAGTAATTTTTTCAGATTTTTCCGAGCCGTTTTTCCCTCCGAAAACGACTTTTGAAGTTCGAAATTTTAAAATGCCGCGTTTGCCCGCGCTTTAGCGGCAATTCAATATGGCGCCGGAATTACCCCCTGGCTTCTTGCCACACATTCGACCGGGCGCCGTCAGCGGGACCTCTACGCGTTCGAACATCGAGGCTAAATCAAAACAACCAACTGGCTGTTATCAATTTCACCTGTAGACAAAGATTTCTCTAGTTTTTGGCATATTTTCTGAACTGTTATTTTTTCAACTAAAATATCTAACCCTGCTTTACAAATATCTCGACCT